ACATGTAGATGTGTATGTATGAGTGTATACTATCAAAAGGATATACTAATACGCCACAATAAACGTCACATAACAACAAACGTCACATATGTATGGTGTGTGACAAAGTGGTGTGTCAAAGATGGTTTGTGACAAAGTGGCGTGTGAAAGATGGTGCACCTTTCCCACAAAAGTCAAAAGCCCGTCTGCCACACGAAAGCCAGCCGAAGGCCAGGCGGCAACCACGCGCGCCGCAGCTCCTCCAGGAGCTCTGTGTGCTGCGCCTGCCACACGAAAGCCAGCCACGGGCCAGGCGGCGACCACGCGCGCCGCAGCTCCTCCAGAAGGCTCTGTGTGCTGCGCCTGCCACACGAAAGCCAGCCGCGGGCCAGGCGGCGACCACGCGCGCAGCTCCTCCAGCAGGCTCTGTGTGCTCCGCCTGCCACGCGAAAGCCAGCCGCGGGCCAGGCGGCGACCACGCGCGCCGCAGCTCCTCCAGCAGGCTCTCTGTGCTGCGCCTGCCACACGAAAGCCAGCCGCGAGCCAGGCGGCGGCCACGCGCGCCGCAGCTCCTCCAGGAGGCTCTGTGTAATGCGCCTGCCACACGAAAGCCAGCCGCGGACCAGGCGACGACTAGCAGGCTCTGAAAGCTCTGTGTGGTGCACCTGCCACACGAAAGCCAGCCACGGGCCAGGCGGCGACCACGCACGCCGCAGCTCCTCCAGAAGGCTCTGTGTGCTGCGCCTGCCACACGAAAGCCAGCCGCGGGCCAGGTGGCAACCACGCGCGCCGCACCTCCTCCAGAAGGCTCTGTGTGCTGTGCCTGCCACACAAAAGCCAGCCGCGGGCCAGGCGGCGACCACGCACGCCGCAGCTCCTCCAGAAGGCTCTGTGTGCTGCGCGTACCACACAAAAGCCAGCCGCGGGCCAGGCGGCGACCACGCGCGCCGCAGCTCCTCCAGAAGGCTCTGTGTGCTGCGCCTGCCACACGAAAGCCAGCCGCGGGCCAGGCGGCCAGGCGGCGACCACGCGCGCAGCAGCTCCTCCAGAAGGCCCTGTGTGCTGGGTTTGCCACACGAAAGCCAGCTGAAGGCCAGGTGGCAACCACGCGGGCAGCAGGCTCTGTGTGCTGCGCCTGCCACACGAAAGCCAGCCGAGGGCCAGGCGGCGACCACTCGCGCCGCAGCTCTGCCAGACGGCTCTGTGTACTGCGCCTGCCACACGAAAGCCAGGTGATGAGTGCTGTGTGATATGGCTGCGACAAGGCGTGTGATAAGTGTTGTGTGATATGGCTGTGACAAGTGGCGTGATAAGAAGTAGTGCTGTGATGAAGGAGGTGTGAGGTGTGATGTGAGAAGGGGTGATGTGTGAGATGCGATGTGTGATGAGTGGGCGTGACACTCTCAACACTCTTGGTACGACATGTCACTGTTATCACCAAGCATTCTTAAGCTAGTGAACTACCAGGTAGGCCATGAACCATGAACCACTAAGCCACTAACCATTGTTCTATCCTCATGGTGAGACACTCTCGGGCGACACTCTTAGTAAGAAACTCTTGGTGAGACACTCTTGGAAAAGCCAATGGCACCGGTTGGCAGGCGAAATGCACGAGCTTGGACTTTACATGTATAGATGTTGGTTTCTGTATTCTGTACATGTGTTATACGTACGTATGTATATATATATATACATATATATATATATATATATACACCAGGAGTACCGCACAAGGCGGTGGCGGAAATTTCAAAGATTGGAAACCTATGGGAGATGCTGGCTGTTGTGAATCACGGATGGCAGGGCGAATCCACTGATGGACCGAAAGGTGGTTGGAGTCGTGTTTTGGAGTGGCTGCAATGGTTGCAGTGGTCACCGCACCCACAACTGCTGGATGTAGCGTGGTGTAGTGCAATTCTAGTTGTAGTTGTAATGGAGTTGTAGCTATACTGTGGTGTAATTAGTGTAGCGTAGTTGCAGTTGCAGTTGTGGTGTGGTGTAATTAGTGTAGTGTAATGTCGTGTAATGTAGCGTAGTGTACTGCAGTGTACTGTAGTGTACTGTCAGTGTACTGTAGTGTAATGTAGTGTAATTAGTGTGGTGTAGTGCAATGTAGTCCAGTTGTAGTCGAAGTTGAAATTGTAGCAGTAGTTGTTGTTCTTCTTGTAGGTGTAGTTGTAGTGAACTTAGTACAGTGTACTGTAATTAGTTAGTGTAATGTGATTAGTGTAGTGTAATGTAATTCGTGTAGTGTAGTGTAGCGTAGTATATTTGTATATGTACTTGTATTTGTAGTTGTAGTAGAAATGTAGTTGTAGCTGTAGTTGCAGTTGTAGTTGTCTATTGATCTATCCATCCATCCATCCATCTATCTATCTGCAAGATTGAAAACGAAGCTATTCTTCGAGACTTCCTCAATTTTTGAACTTGGCAACGCCAAAAACGAAGCAATTCTGCAAGGCCTCCTCAATTTTCGAAGTTGACAACATTAAAAACGAAGCAATTCTTCGAGACATCCTTCAAGAATCGAAAGTTGAGTGCAGAGCTGACGGCGATTTTTCCATTCCATTTGTCTAAAATACTTCGCCCGCCACGAAAAAGTGAGGCCAGATCATACGAAGTGCTGCACCTGTCACGCAAAATCATCTTCGCAAACCTGACGATCTGATGCTCCAAAATGCAACCTCTCTGAAGAAATCAGCGCCCGGACCTCCTGACATCTCTGATGAACATGTCTCTTGCACTGCACCTGCCACGAATTGCATCTTTGCAGATCCTCCTCAAATGCCCCATGCCTGCCAAAGTTTTGGAAACTGCCACGAAACCTCCGCGTTTTGCTCACTTTTGGCAAGGTGCTGAATCCCTTGCGCCTGCCAAGCAAAACCACATCCTAACCTCAAAAAGTGCTCCGAGAATGGGTGTGCTTTGTACATTTTGACTTCGAAATGTGCTTCGCACCACAACCGCGTGCACTTTTTCGACATCTCAACTTCCAAAAGTGCGCCGTACCTGGTGAGCTTTGCGCATTTTGATTTTGAAATGTGCTTCGCGCCACAACGGCGTGCACTTTTTCGACATCTCAACTTCCAAAAGTGCTTCGAACGCGGTGTGCTTTGCACATTTTGACTTCGAAATGTGCTTCGCGCCACAACGGCGTGCACTTTTTCGACATCTCAACTTCCAAAAGTGCTTCGAACGCGGTGTGCTTTGCACATTTTGACTTCGAAATGTGCTTCGCGCCACAACGGCGTGCACTCTTTCATCTCTCATCTCCCCAGATGGCTCCGCACCCGCCGCTTTAGCGAGCCTTCTGGAGCCACGAAACATTGGCAAAAGTGATTCGCGACTTTTTAACCTTTTCGCATGCCTGCATTTTCGTTCTTCTGGTTCTTTCTCTTCTCTGACCTTCTTTCTGCTGACTCGTTCTCTTCCCTGACTCTTCCCACCTCTGCTTTCCCATCTGTCCATAATGTATACATGTATATGTGCATGTATGAGTGTATACTATGAGGAGGACATACTATGGTACTCAACAATGCTAATACAATACACCACAGCAAAAGTCACAAAAAAAAACGCAGAATGCTGCCTCCCTTTGAACGTGACTCTGCGTATTCTATTTAAAAAACAAACGTGAGTTCCGGCATTTTGAAAAACAAAAGGGTAGTTAGGTTTAACATGTGACGCAGTCTCTGCCTGTGACTATTCTTGCTTACGCCATTGTCACATCCAAAAGGGCACGCCATTGTCACATCCAAAAGGGCACCCAAACTCTTCGAGTGACACTCTCAACACTCTTGGTACGACATGTCACCGTTATCACCAAGCATTCTTAAGCTAGTGAACTACCAGGTAGGCCATGAACCATTAGCCACCAAGCCACTAACCATTGTTCTATCCTTATGGTGAGACATTCTCAGTGAGACACTCTTGGTGAGACATTCTTACAAGGACACTCTTGGAGCGACACATGCACAAGCTTGGACCATACATATTTAGATGTTGATTTTTTATTCTGTACATGTGATATACGTGTATATATATATATATATGTGTATATACAATGTATACATGTAGGTGTGTATGTATGAGTGTATACTATGAGGAGGATATACTATGGCACTCAACAATGCTAACACACCACAACAAAAGTCACAAAACAAAAACAAAGAACGCTGCCTCCCTTTGAACGTGGGTCCTTGCATTTAAAAAACAAGATGGGGAGTCAGATTTATCACGTGACACTGTCACTGTCTGTGACTATTCTTGTTTACGCCATGGTCACATCCAAAAGGGCACCTAAACTCTTTGAGTGACACTCTCGACACTCTTGGTGCGACATGTCACCGTCATCACCAAGTTAACCATTAACCACTAACCATTGTTCTACCCTTATAGTAACAAGGACACTCTTGAAGCGACACTCTTAGTAAGACACTCTTAGTGAGACACTCTTGGAATAACACGCTTGGTAAGCCACTTCTTCAATCGTGGTGCACCTGACCCCCTGCTTTTTTTTAACCTGACCCCCCGCTTGTTTTTTAATGGTGGGTCAGGTGTACCAAGGTAAGGCACTCCCACCTCCTCGAAAACAAGACCTCCGCACCAACGCTTTTTCCCCGTTCCCCCACCCAATTCCGGCCTCCCCCTTCCAAAGGGAAAACTTCCCGGAGCCCCCTGCCCCACCACCCCCTAGATTAGCTTCGCCATAGCTTCGGCCTATACAGACTCTCCAGCCTGAGCCTTCGGCTGGCTTTCGTAATATACACAATGTATATATATATATACATATAATATGTATATATATATATATGTATATATATATATGTATATATATATGTATATATATATGTATATATATATATACACACACACATACACACCACATATATATATATATATGTATATAATTATATATATATGTATATAATTATATATATATATGTATATATATATGTATATATATATAATTATATATATATGTGTGTTTTGCATGCATCCATCTGGCGGAACTTAATGTCCTTCTGCATCTTCAACTGCATCTGTAGGAGGTTTGCTTGGCGCACTCGGTCCAGGGCCTCCGGAAAATGAGAAGCAAAACCGGTCGATAGCAAATGACAAAGTGGAGGTTGCGCCTACGCTTTGACTGATTGAATTGCAAGAAAATCGAGCAGAGATTTGCAAACGTGATTAAAAAATAAAAAACTAGAAATCAATCGAATCAATCCCATATTCGCCATATTCCTGCCTCAAAGACTTCATCAGAGCCTAGGTGCTGAAAGTAGGGGAGGTTCCTGTAACTTTGGCTCTTTTCCTGGCAGACCCATGTGAGCCATGGGGCAGGTTGACCGAAATAACTTGGTTGGATCGTTTGCAAATACGTGACACGGTGACCTGCCGCTGCTTCCGCATCTGATCAATGAGGTCTCCGACAAAAAGTTCATGCTCAGTTGCCAAAAGGGTTGGCCTTCAGCCGCGTTGGACAAAAAAACGAAACAAACATATACAAAGAGATGTACAAAGAGATATACAAACGTACATCTTGAAGCTAAGTCAAACAATACACGCAGAACATGTGCACTTCATTGCCGTCAAATCTGTTCCATCTGTGTTTTGTTCTCCTCTTGATTCAGCAGTCATCAATGGGACTTGGAAAGTCTGTGGAGTATATATCTGAAAAAAGATCCTTCCCATCTTCCCTCTCAGGCCAGCACGATGGTGTCTCCATTGCTGCACTCGAGCAACTAGAAACTCCCAGTCCCAAGTTCAAGCTACAGAATCCTAAGCTAAAACTACCTGTTCGCCAAAATTCCAATTTGAAACTGGTGAGGAGCTGACAAAGCCAATGAAAGGAAAATACACTTGACATTTTAAATTGCGGAACGGTCCTGCACAGCAACGGAGACGGAGTTTACGCGTTCCTTTTGCCTAATCTGACTTGCGACTTGTCAAACTCCCGCCTCTTTGCGGTTTCAGTGCAGGATCTTCTCAGGGTGGATAGTTTGCTTCAAGGAAATGCACAATGTGATATTTGATGATATTTGATGATGGTTGATGATGGTTGATGATGGTTGATGATGGTTGATGATGTTTGTGATGGGAAAAGGAATTGCGATTGAAACCCGCAGCCTAGAATTGCTTTCTCCACACACACATCGCATCATTGGCGAAGTGTGCTCACTTTGGAAAGGAGTATTCTGAAAGTGGAGCTTGCAGGGAAATTTCAAGAGCTTTGTTTCCAGAAACTCGCATCACTACGCAAATTCTCTGCAGCCCAACTTCATGCATGGGAGCCAATGGGAGCTAGTGAGATTTGGAAGATTCCAACAGCGGTTCGCAGCCAGTGGCGGTTCAAAACGGATCAAGCTTGCATAGCTAAACGCGCAGCGCGTCACAGCGCTTCACAGAATTTCACTCTAGGCTGTCCAGGACGGATCTTGTGTGAGAGCCTGCCTTGCCAGCAATGTGCTTGTCTGTCTCTCTGATTTGCGTCGGACGACCAACAAGCATTATTTCGGTTCACATAGAGTAGGGTACAAAAATGCTCGAAGGGGAGATTGAAGAGCGTATCGGCAAGTACACCAGTGTCATCCAGTATTCTCTCGAGTGCGTTCGTTTTCAGTTTCAAATCTGACTGCACAAGATTACAGAACTTTGACTAAAGGGATCAGAATCAAGCCCACGTTGGTGAATTCAGCCAAAATGCATGGCCAGAACACAGCAACATCGTTATGCCATGATTCTGCTTGCCACAGTGTTGATCACATTCTGCTTGCCACAGTGTTGATCACATGGTTTGGCAATTGGCAACTCATCCCAAAAAACTGTCTTCCAAATCCGCTTCCCAAAATGGCAACACCCAGCACTGATTGTATAACAGTCCAAGACTCGGCCGTTTACGTCCCCACCACACCCCAAATCCTCACTTCATTCGCAAATCTGTCATTCCCTTCTTCCGAATTCTTCCTGTCAAATTGTTCAGCCCGTCCTGTCCACCCCTTGTAGTGTCCATCTTCTGCACGCTGCTACTATTAGACTCAAGCCTCAAGCGGAACTGACATGAAGCAATACAAGCAGTGCACTGGGTCGTGCAGACATTGTCTTTTCACAAAATTCCAATGGAGTTGGATTGGATAAAAAGTATTGCTACCGTCTGCTACAGTTCGAACAGTTCGAAGACTGATTGGATATGATTGGATCATAATTTTATCACATGGAACTTCGAAATATTTCGAAATGCCAAGGTCGTGGCTTGCAAAGCCTCCGGCAAAGGAAAGGATCACGTCTACAGTGTGGAACTCTAAGTCCTGCTCGGAGCTGTGAGGCGATTCGTCGCCGAGCTTCGAACTGAACTCAGGATGCAAGGGACAGAAGAGTCAGCTGTTTGGGGTAAATTGTATTGAACTACAACGAACTATAAGGAACTATAAGGAAGACTTAAGGAAGTATTGTGTTTCCACCCTTAGCCGCCTTAGCCTCCTAGTTTAGTTTTGGGCAAATGCCCTGAGGCGATTTGGGCATTTCACATGAAGCCGCGTATCAAATAAGCCCAGGTCTAAGTCTCAGAGGCCCAGAGCCCAGAATCGACAATTTCTCACTCATTCGCGGAGCAACGTGCTAAGCAATCTGCGAAGCCGCTAAGCAATGCTGTGTCTCTCTGCCATTGTCTTGCAAAACGCGGCATGATCTTCTGCGTGCGATAAGCACTTCGGCTCATGTATGTGTGAATACATAGAATATGTACATGCACCCACATATGTATGTATATGCATACATAATATGTATACACAATACGCATGCACGGTACATAGTAATGCATGTAAATGGCGTACAAAACACATAGCACGTAATACATTTCATATATTTATTATTATTATACATATGTTAATGTAAAATGTAGAATATCGTACATAGTACATCCATAATAAAAATGAATAATGCATGATAAATAATAAATCATGAATGATACATATGCATATATATATATCATGCGCATCATATACATCACATACATCATATACATCATATGCATCATATGCATCATATACCTCATATACATCAGGTGCATCATTCCTATGCATCGTATGGATGTGCAAGTACACATACACGTCAAGAAAAGATGATTGGTTGGTTGGTCGGTTGATTGATGGATACAAACAGATAGATACACAAACGAATGGATGATATAGACACGTGTTGTGTATATATGTATATAATATAGAGAGAGAGAAAGACGAAACAAAAAAAATGATATCTCGATGATTGTTCCTCGCCTTTAAAATTTTAGGTGTCTTGTTTGAGCTGAATTGTCTTGTGCACTGTTGTCAAACATTAAAAAAGAAGAACTCTATATATATATATATAAGAAAACTAAATAAGAGATTGAGGAAGGGTCACTGCACTGAAAGTGCCCCCTCCTTCGTTTTCTGGAAGGTGTCATAAGCAGCAGTGACCTCACAGGGACAGAAAGATTGCGATGTCTGGGGGTCGCGTTCTAGTTCAAAGTTCAAAGCTGTTTCGGCTGGTCTAGGATCTCAAGGTACACTCTCTGAGCTCTTCGCAGCTGACATTTCGCCAACCTCGTACAGACAGCTGTGATCCGCTTGGGACTGGCAAGTTGCATTCCTTCCTGTCTTCATCTGTTCTCCTTTATCATCCTTTATGCCACTCTCACTCTGACACGTGTGCACAAATTGGAAGGCTTAAATAGGTTACTGCAGGTAGGGTCCGGACACGGTGCACGCTCATGCCTCCGCCCTGAAACAAATGCGATAAGATGGAAGGGGTCCGAAACAGATCTTTCGTTCTAAGTGCCACAGATGTTTTTGGCCTCCTGTGTTTTGTGCGGCGAAAACTAGTAAACTGTGAACATCGCTCTTCATCCATTGAAGTTTGTTTCTATGTGTCTGGCATATATGGATGGAGGCGGTGGACGTGTAGTGCTGCTCCAAATCTTTGCTGGGATAGGCATAGGTGGCACCGTCGCAAATGACGGAGTCAAAGGCTCCTTCAGGGGATCATGTGCTGTTTCTGGCTAAACAGCGACTCAGATATAGTTTCCTGATGAAATTAGTAAACTCTAAAGTACTCTACTGTTCTACAAGGTTGGGCACTTCTATTGCAATTGCAGCGTAAAGCAAGCACAGCACCACCTCTAACGCTGAAGTTGTGGGTGCGGCTTCTGGTTCAGGCCTGAGTTTGCATCATGGCCCCCCAGCTCTATTGAGCCATGGAGTCTAAATGCTTTGTTCCTCCTTTGTTCCTCCTTTTTCCTCCTCCATTCCTCTATCTTTCTTTTGTTGGTTTGCCACTGCCATTTAGACCTCTCTTTCCAACCTCCCCCTCCTAGCCACTGAGTCCAGGAGAAGTCTCATCTTCAATGTCTCCACTTCGAAGTCAATGCGAATGCTGCGAAGGCTGAGTCCCTATGGAAATTTTACAACTTGGATCCTGGCGCAAGCACATCTTCGCGGTCTTGAGTCAGGTGCAAGTACCGTCGACGACGGCGCTTCCCACCTTGCGAGCAGACCACAGCCGCACTCCACACAGACTCTGAATTGAGCACTCTCAGACACTCTCACAAGCATCACAAGCCTGCTGCAAATGTTATTCTATGGCCTGCAGCCTTTCCCTGCAAAATGCACGATGAAATGAAATATGATGCACTGCTGTGGGGCCTCGCCCGCAGGTTTTGCTGCAATCTCCCCAATCCTGCATTGGTGTCGCTGTCAGCCAGCAACTTCTCAGGATTTTCAACTCATGTCCTCCCAGCTTGCCCAGGTGCAGTAGAGATTGCCTTAAAATTTGAAAATGATCTTTGACCGTCAAATCAACCTGTGAGCAACAAGCAAAGACTTTAACTGCACGATAGAATGGTGCAGAAGATGGAAAATCCAGGAGCTCTTCTTGCAAACAGGCAACCATTGCACGACCGTGGGCATTTGTCTACCTGCCAAGCGCGGCATACCCTTCAAACATCTTCGAACAATACATTACAGACTTTTGCATGTAAAATGGAAAATGCGACAAATGACATGGTCAAAAGTGAGAACATGTGGCATCGGCATACTACATTGTTGCGTTCTGCAACCCGATGATATGACGTTTTATAAACAAAATGATTCAAAGTGTGTGATTTGTGTGAAGGTGTAAATATCTGTGACTTACATGTACAGCATATGTTTAAGCAGTGTCGTTTTAGGCATTACATAGGTGCACAGCCAAAGCCAGAGTCAGCCACCCAAGTTCATCACCCCGGTGAGGGTCAATATCAGATAGCAGAGTCAGGAGCCATGGGGTGATGCGGATCAACTAAGTTGCTAAAAAAAACACTGCAAACTTAGTAACTTAGTCCAAGGCACAATAATGCAACTAGGCAAGCTAACCTTTTGTGATGCAAAAACAGTGGAGTTGGTTGATGTTGTTTTTGCATGTTTGTTTTCTTTTGCACTTATCAGCATAGCCTCTCTAATGCTCATCTGGTCGCAGGTGCGGCCACCATTCGACGCATAACCTCGAAAGGTTCTGGCAATAAAGACAAAGGAACTGATTCGTATTCACGTTAAACCCTACAAGGGCAACAAGTACCAGGTTGGCCCAACCAGCAACTGGAATACCTATATTCACGGTCACAATTTCCAGCGGATGCTGCTTGTTCCCCGCCTGCCAGGTGAGGGTTGTTAGATTTTATCTAAGTTGCCTGCTCCTCCTCCTCCTCTCCTCCTCCTCTCGTCGTCCTCCTCCTCTCGTTGTCCTCCTCCTCTCGTTGTCCTCCTCGTCTCGTTGTCCTCCTCGTCCTCCTGCTCAACTGCGACTCGCGATCCACAGTGTTCGCTGCCGGACCTCAACCACGACCATCCCCGCCCAGTGTTCCTGCCGGACCTCAACCACGACCATCCACGCCCAGTGTTCCCTGCCGGACCTCAACCGCGAGTATCCACGCCAAGTGTTCCCTGCCGGACCTCAACCGCGAGTATCCACGCCAAAAGATATGCCACATAGAGTGCCAGAAGATATGCCAGATAGAATGTTAGAAGATATGCCAGATAGAATGCCAGAAGGTATGCCAGATAGAATGCCAGATAGAATGTCAGCTAGAATGCCAAAAGATATGCCAGATAAAGTGCCAGAATGTTTGCCAGATAGAATGCCAGCAGATTTGCCAGATAATATGCCAGAAGATATGCCAGATAATATGCCAGAAGATATGCCAGATAGAATGCCAGATGGAATGCCAGAAGATATGCCAGAACATATGCCAGAAGATATGCCAGAAGATATGCCAGAACAACTGCCAGAAGATATGCCAGAACAACTGCCAGAAGATATGCCAGGTAGAATGCCAGAAGATATGCCAGATAGAATGCCAGATCGAATGCCAGAAAATATGTCAGATAGAATGCCAGAAGATTTGCCAGTAACAAAATGTATAAATGTCATGGTGGGGATCACACGAAGTAAAGTAATTTAAGATTTTGAATTCTCTCTAGGTTTGGAGAACCGAACCATACCAGAAGCCTCTCATAGTCCTTCTGTCAAAACGCTTTCTAGTAGGCAGCATCGTTTTGGATGGTCTTTCGAGCTTTTTAGATCTCTTGATTCCATGAAGATTTTGACACATGCGCTGCTGTGTGCTCAAGCACCTTTAGTCTCATGTGTTTCAAAGGCTTTCGAGGACTCAAATGTTTGGAGACAGGGCTGGAAAGCAGGAGATCTGATTTCATGTGATATGTCAAAATTTCCAGACGTTGGGGGATACTGTACTTGGCAAGGTATCCTGCAATCCAAGTCAACAAGTGCCCTAAGATACACCAACATCATCCGACCTCATAAGCTTGGAATCCTTTGCGGGGTTACTTTGATTGGCCTGGGGTGATATGCTTGACATGATTGATGTATTTGCGTTTGTGATTGTATTTCGTGGGTGCTGCTGCGGAATGAGATTGCCTCTGCGATGGGAAATCACATTCTGGTCATCATGAATGGATTACACTACAAGAAGCAGCACCGCTGCAACTGGTCTCGCAAGGTCTGGCCAGTGCACGCTACTAGTATGGCTGAGAGCTGCGCGCAAAATGTTGCGGAATCGAGTCCTTTCACCATCGCATTTGTTGCCTAAGTTCACAAAATGTTCTTCCCCACAAATCCTTTCAAATGGCTTTTGCCCCTTCCCATTGCGCTTTCTGAAAACACAGCAAGCACTCACAACAAAGGTCTCATCAAGTGTACAGCCCAGGGCCAATCTGCTGTGAAACTCAGGGTAGCTAGGCTAGTTGCAAAGGCCCCACTCTTCCCACTGTCCAACTTCGCAATCGATGGGTCCACTTCCGCCGGTGCAAAGGTGGCGGTTCTGAGTTTGGTAAATTCAACGGCAAGTACAAAGCACATCAACACAGAATTCATCCGAAAGAAAATAGACAAACTGACCGGAACTGGCCGGACCTTCCATCTGCTCAGAATCTGTATGTGTTCAGCGTGAATTGAGGCAGCTGCGCATTCGTTGACCTCTGACAGGGCTGCCAAGCAACCCCGGCCACCATGTGAAGCACCTCAGATGCTCGAATCAAAAATGACGCCTTCCTCTGACATGGACATAGTGAGTACCAATACCACCCAAGCCATCCCTCTTTGCAAATTGGTTGCTTTGGATAGCTAAGTTTGAGAGTAAAGGTCCAAGAAACATTCGCAGCTATGTTCGCAGGATTTCACAATTATTTGGGTTGCTTGGAATGCAAGTGCGGCAAGATGTGGGCAGGCCAAAGCATAAACAAGTTATCGCAGCAATGCAGCGATTCTACGGAGCTGGTGGTAGTGACGTCAAAGGAATGACTCAGGGATGATTAGCGGATTGGCGTGCATGTGCAGCGCAGGTTCACGGATAGAGAGCCCAAATGGAACAATCATAAAGACATCATGATAAGCATCATAAGTAGGCAAAGTCAAAAAACATTGAAAAGAGGGATAATGTAGGACATGACAGGTTCAATCCGTGTTTGCGTTTGGTTGCAGCACAACAACAACTACAACATCATCAACACTGCCACCACAAGAAGCAATAGCAGCGGCAGCACCAACACCAACACCGGCTCCAACACCACCATTTTTTCACTACTTCAAAGGACTGAAAAAAACGGACAACCTAATCGACAACACATGGAAAAAGACATGATCAGCTTTTTTGTCATGCCTCAATTTGATTCAAAGGACGTGGAAGAAAACTGAGGATTTGGCGCTGGACCACAACGCGCGTCCGTCTCTGCACTCCACCATCACAATGTGCAGTGCAACTGCCACACTAGACAATAGATGCAAAAGTAGATGCAACAGCAACACTTCAGTCCCTTTCTTGCCACTGCCTGCTCCACCGCGTCCACCTCAAGAATCAAGTTACTTTGTGCTATCTTTGCTTCAGGGTGTCTGGAAGCTATTCTGCAGTACCTGGAATATAGATAGAAAAGGATTGTGGCAAGCATGATATCGCAGCACTGCACAATCCTGGATACCTTGTTGACAGCTTCTTGCAGCCGCAGAGCATGTGCGTCATAAAAACATATGAAAACTAGTCCCAGGACCCACGAGTCAACAGAAATCACACTAGCGATTGCGACTCAATCACGGATCGCTCCTAGGTCCTGTCTGTCCATCACGTGAACTTCTGAACCCAACATGTCCAAATCACTGGCCAGCCCATCATGATCTATACAAATGTGTAGAACTGTAGTCACTTCTGAGTACCTATACTGGCACGAGTCATTGAGCACCATCAAATATATTTAAAAAGGGAACGTGCATAGGTCCATGTATATGCGTGGATTGTGATATATGTTTGGGTGATTTTGGGTGCACGTAGATCTCATCTTGGAGCTCCACCATGAACAGCATGAACAAGTTGCAGAGTTTGGCAGAGTTTGGCAGAGTCAAGAATGTCAAGAATATGATCGGGCTGAAAGATGCTGAAAGGATGTGAAGGCAATGGCCATGGCAGCCATGGCAGGGTCTGGAGAGTCTGGAGATTGAAGCATCGCCCCCTGAGTTTGAGGCTCACCCATCTCACAATCTACTGGTTCATCGATGCGGCAGCCCTCGAAGAAACTTGTCTGCAACAGTGACTCCCTATGTCCTTTGCGTGAAATAAATGTGCTGTTTCATGCTGTTTCATGCTGTTTCATGCTGTTTCATGTTTCCTCTCACTGTCTCACTTCTCGTCTCACTTCCTGTTGCATCTCTTTGTTTCTACAACTTGTATTGCTCAGCACATGGCTGCTGGACGAGGATCACCTAACTTCGGGCTGCATGGCCGTATCCTCAGAAGCACAGCTATTTAGAAGCACTTGCGATGCAAAAGTATGAAACTTTCTCTACCATAGAGTGCCATAGAGTCAGTTGCAACAAGAGACTTCCTAAAGTTTCAGTTCACCCTCAAAGATTACCCTAAACCAAACCTAAATAAACCCAAAACCAACACTAAGCAAACCCGAACCCGAAAGAGACCCTAAAACAAACCTTGACGAAACCCGACATTAACCATTAACCCGAAGCTAACCTCAAATAAACCTAAACCAAGCCTGACTATACCCTACACCAAGCCGAAATAAACCCTAATCCAACCTTCGCACAAACCCTGATGAAACCCTAACTTAACTTTAAACCAACCCTTAAAAACCCTAAACCAGGCCTAAATAAACCCCAAACCAATGCTAAGTAAACCCTAAATAGACCATAAACCAAACCTGGACGAAACCATACATTAGCCCTAAACCAACCCTGAATAAGACCTAAATCAAGCCTGGATATACCCTAAACCGTATGTTGAGCTGTAAGCAAGAAAGGTCAATGAGCAATCATCTGAAGAGCCAGTGCCTAAAAGAGACATGCATGTTGCATGTTTGAAAAAAACATGATGCAATGCATAATATTTATATTTATATTTATATTTATATTTATACATGTATATATATATATATTTATTTATTTATATATTCTACATATAAATATATATATATATGGACATGGACCCAGTGGGGGGGCGGAGGGTGACTCACTCCGACGTGGGGGGTGATTGACTCACTGCACTCTGACTCTGTCAGTGGGTGACTGATTCCGTCTGCTCTCCATGATTAGATTAGATTAGATAGATAAGATAAGATTAGATTAGGTTGGTAGATAGATAGATAGATAGATAGATGGGTAAAGCATGGTAAAGCATGGTAAAGCCACAAAAGCCACAAAAGCCACAAAAGCCACAAAAGCCACAAAAGCCACACACCCACAAAAGCCACAGAAGCCACAGAAGCCACAAGAGCCACAAGAGCCACAAAGCTAGGCTGGAAAACCAAAAAAGAAGCCCCCCATTGAGTAGTGTTCAAAACTCTGTGTGGTCGTACTCATTGATTCTGAGAATCCCCAATACAATCCAATACATTGGTCAGCAATTATAATCCTTTCAATCATCAACCAACCGGGGTTTTGAACACTGCTCAACTAATTCAGCTGAAGGAAGTACATCGTGGGCATCTGAGGCATCTTGCTCTTTCAAAGCACCACTACACCATCGGCCATGCCCAAGTCCGTAATGCTTGACCTCAAAAGTCTTCAGATTCCCATACATAATGCTTTCATAATCAGACAAATCTATTTCGATTGTTGAAAGATGCCCTTGTGACAGTGCATTTCTTGTGGCATGTCCTTTAAAACACCTCACTGCAGTGCTAGATGTTCCGTGAATTCTCAGGTGCGCACAGCACGGGATCTTTGCTGTGTTCCTTAGGACATTCCAGAATCTTCCCAGGGTGAAGTGAACATCAAGGAGGAAACTTCTGTCATTCATCTAAAGAAACTGTCCGGGAAGACGAAATTTGCAAATGTATCGAATGTATTGGAATGTATTCGAATGTTGAGTTTGTGTTTCTTCTTCGGATCTGGTGGAAGAACTGACCGTCAGTGCCTCCATGACCTTTGATGAAATGATTCGTTGCTCAAATGATTCGTCCTCACACACTTTATGAACAACGAGGACCCTACCACGAAGGCATCCCAAAAGAAAACGGAGTAACTGGTCTAACCTGAATTAGTACTCTCTCCGTAGAAATCAAATGTCTATAGAGTCTATAGTCAATTTCAGGCAGCATGGACTCCCAACACTACAGGTACAGTAATGTGATGGTTTCTGGCTTTCAGCCGCATAAGCACCTCTTGCGAAGAGCGCACACAGGCGTATTCTCATGTATTCTCTGCAGTGAATTATCAACCCTTTAGCCATCACAATCTGGAAGGCAAAGTTTCTATGTCTAGGTTGCTGAGACCTCCTGCTGCAGTTTTTCCGCCGTGCCCAGGTATATATGTCTTTGCTCTTGCTTTGGACTGCACAGGCTCTGCAAGTCCCCCTAGCTTGCCACTCCCTTCTCTTACACACAGGTTGCCTGCAGAACTGATTTTCCGAGCATCCATCACAATCTGCGGAGCACGGTCCCCACGCACTCCACCTACCAAAAGTAGGTATGTTTGACAATAAATCATATTCATGTGTGACACATAAAATCATATTTTGATTCAGCGAAGGCTACGCACAACCTGCTGCAGGCCATCTCATCCATAGGATCCACAAGTTGCCACAAGCTAAGTGCGCTAAGTGCGCTGCACCCCAAACTCACAATCTCTCTCTGGCACCTGTCAAAACAAGGATGCGTAGAAAGGAATTCTGCCAACCCAGGAGGCCCGTCCAACCCCAGGCCCATCGGAACAATCTGCAAAAAGTAATACATATATGATATCATATATGTATATATGTATATATGTGTATATATATATATATATATTTTTATATGTATATATATATGTATATATACATACATATATAAATATATATATATATATGTATGTATGTATATATGTATATGTATATATATATATGTATATATGTATATATGTATATATGTATATATGTATATATGTATATGTATATATATATATGTATATGTATATATATATATGTATATATGTATATATATATATATGTATATATATGTATATATGTATATATGTATATATGCATATGCACGCATGTATACATGTATACATGTATACATGTATACATGTATACATGTATATATGTATATATGTATTTATTTATATATGTATGTATGTATGTATGTATGTATATATGTATATATGTATATATGTATATATGTATATATGTATATATGTATATATGTATATAT